TGATATTGCCATAAAACTCAGGGGAGACAGGACAGGCCAACGTTCAGTTTATAGAAAAAGTAAGTGGAATGGCCTGTACCTAAATTTTAATAGTATTTGTCCAATTAGTTACAAGAAGGCATTGGTTAAAAGACTATTTTACAGGGTAGAAAAGATATATACCACCGACAAACTGGAAGAAGAATTAATGAACGTAGAAAAATGTCTAAAAGACAACTTCTATACACAAAAGTTTATAAACAAATATAAAAAGCCCAAAGAAAACAAGACCGAAATAACTACGGTCAATAAAAAAGCCAGTATATATAAATCTTAATTTTGAAGGTGATAACGTCGCACAAATAATCAACAGGAGACTGAGCACTGCTCTAGCCAGAACTTATCCGACTGCTAAACTTTTAACTCTCGATAAAACAACATGTTCAATAACCCAATCAAAGATCAACAAGCAACGCTTTCATGTTACCGCCAACTGAATTTATAAATGTACGTGTACATGCCAAAGCAGCTTGTTGGGGCCGATACATCCCCAAACTTATATTTTGTAATTTTATCATATCGATTAAATTATCGATTAAATGTTTAAATATTTGAATGGCAGTCAGTTGATGAACATAACGATTAAATTTTTAAATGGCAGACAATTGATGACTCATTGATTATTGTTTAAAAAATTTCCTATGACAAAATCGATATATATTTGTATAAATACGCTTGACTTGTATGCTTGAGCTGATCTGCCTGACGTGGCTTGGTATCTGCTGTTGCTTGTAGAATACACCTTCTACGCCTTATCAAGACTTCTTGATCGAGTTAGCTGAGTCGAAGACAACGGGCCGGGATAGTCTATTGGTCTCTGAATTCTGAGCCTTCGTCCCGTTCCGAATAAGTCGAATCAGTAGTATCCTCAAGGTTAACGAACCTAACACAGCTACGTCGGCCGAACTAAAGGGAGAGCATATCTTAGATTTTTTGAACATGTTGCAAAAAATCCTATAACAAGGGAAAGAAAGACTCTAAATAGTGCAATCATGAAACATCTCCTTGATACAGCGCATCAGGTAGATACCTTACAATTTTTCAGGGTGATTAGTAAGCAGCCAAACTCCAGTCTTCTGAAGTTGGCTGAAGCCATTGCCATCAGGGGTCAAAAACCTGGCCTATGTATTCAAAAGGAGACTGTGGTTAATCTTTCCTTGCCCTGGTGTTAAAGATTTCTTCACTGAACCTTAAAAATGTTTTCTTTTTTCTGTTGCATCTATTACATCATTGATTTTATTTTATTTTTCAACTATCTTTCAAATTAATAATCTTTCAACCGAACTCTACTCACTATATTCCTATCAATGTTTATTCATTATGTAATCAAGTGTTTCTAACCCACTTTTGAACTGTTGTCACAATTAATGTTGTAGAATATTCTTTCACATTAGGTATATATTTACAATATTCAGTAAGCAATTTAAACCCATTATGCAATTATGATTTTTTAAATATCACAGTTTGTAAGCAGCTGATGAGAACCTACAAAATAAAATCAATTCATGCTATTCTGCTAGAATCTTTGTTCTTGCTCTTTTCAAAATCAATTTTGTTTCTATCCCTCTATACAACTTGACGTCTGTTTCCGCCAAAATAAGTTCAGTGTTTTAACATCGATAGATGTTGGTATTCAACAATTTTTGACGCCAATTCCGAGGTGTCATTTTGAAGGTATGCGCGTGTAATTTGATAGTTCGAATATGATTTATGCATAAAGCGTCGTGGCTGATCACTGCTAAAAATTATCACACTTAAACGAAACGGTTGTTCTAACGGGTTTTCGGTGATGGTCTCCTCATGATTGGCATGCGAATTGAAATATATGAAGTTTTAATTTGATCACTACACTGAAAGTGTTTATAAAAGCTTTCTCAACATAATGTGTTCATCATTAAACGTTCAATCACTTTGATCATTTCAAACGAAAGTTTTCAACTAAGTATATTCCTCATACTTGTTGCCAAATATCTGTCGAACGATCCGCTTAAATCAGTGTGGGGATTTATGGAAATTGTAGTATTTCCACAGTTAAAATCACATGCATGATCGTGAAAGTGCTCTGTTGAGTAGTCTCACACTAGTAAAATACTTCTGTCCAGTGCTTCCACGTTTTCAATGGTGGTGTAGCTTAGATTTACTCATGACTTCTACTGTGGGAATATTCGTTTCAATCTTGACGAATAATCACAGACATTAAACTGGAAAACGCTGTAGTTTATTATTAACACCAGTTCCCGTTTTACTGATATTTTAGTATGTGAATCTAAATATCTGTTACGGCACAGTGAATTCTCAAGCCGACACACAACTTTCAGAATAGAATTACTGAATTAACATTCAACAAAATATTAACAGGTTCAGTGGATGATGATTAGCATGGAGCAGTTCGTATTTCAGAATTTCTGATTATTCCAATTTTTGTACAATTTGCGCTGAATATGATTTCAAGGAGTTTCGTTTTCAGTTTATTATTACAACGAAATATGCAGGCTCAGTGGATGACGACCAGCTTGCTAATGCTGTGAAAACCACGTAAGATTTGTACAACAACAAAAATTTAATTGAAAGTACGGTTTTGTTAAGCTAAAGTACACACGAGATGAGCCGTGTGAAGTGCATTTATCGTGTCCTTTGTGGAAAATCAGTTGAGAGATTTACCTCAAAAGAGACCTTTGATTATTCACACACTTCAAATCCATCGTGTTGATTTGTAAGCAAACTTTTAGAAAAGAGTTCAAACAAGGACATGAGAAATATTTACTAGGACCTGTATTCATAATGAAAAAATTGTGGGAGTTCACATGCATCATCTACTATAAATACATTCAAAAACGTAATACACGGTGGTTCACTGTGAAGTATACTAATGAAAATCTACAAATTTGTCCTCCTGTGCATTGTACTGTTGAAATCGGTGACTGGTAAACGTGACCAGCAAGTGGTCCAAGAACAACAGGTAAGTGATCAATGAGAATACTGAACAAACCTCTGCTTCGGGAACATTATACTTATCCATAAACTTTACAGAAAAGATCGTTGACCAATAAACAGTTGCAAATCATCTTAGTTTATGATGAAGATTTAGAACAGAATCAAGCCTTTCCGAAAATAAAGGTAAGTCTTGTTTTTGATTATAGTTCAGTATTTGATGATGTGATAAGTTAGTAAGTTGGTTAAACGTTCGACATTTGGACGATAGTTAAATTAGAAAACCCTCTCGTTATTTAAGTGAATGGAAATAGAAAAACGTTCATGTATATGATCAGTATTACGGACAGTTCGCGATACGGTATTGACAGAAGTGTTATGGACTTATTGTTGGTTCAATAGTATTAAGTCATAATCCTCATAGGAATATATAAGGTAGTAGAATTATGGTCAAACTAGATAATAGTGCATTTATCTTTGTAATTCTAATAAAAGACATAATCCAGAAATTGTCGATTTTTCATGATCTGACTATCTAATCGATTAGATCATACGTGGAAGTCTCATCATTTTCTATACTGACACTTCGTGTCTTAAAAATCGGCAATATTATGTTCAATAATTTCGAAGAACGTATTAAGGGTAAAGTAGAATCATTTGTTCAACACAAAAGAGAAAAAGGTAAACATTAACCGAGCCACTCCATCTTGATTGAGTGTTTCTAAGCTCATCGTTTTCGAGCTAGTCTATTGTGCTGAATGTTGAGTGTAATTTCCCTAGTAATTTGATCTTCAGCTTCAAGGATCGCGTAATTGGGAACCAATAACACGACAATCTGTTGGAAAACGTAACAGTTTAAAAATTGAGAAAACAAACTTATACCGATATACGGTTTACAATACTGTTTTGTACATACATTATATATATACAAATATATAACTACCGTTCATTTGGGGATTCTTGAAAATAGTTCATGAGACTTTGTAACAATTTCATTACTAGAATCATGGGTAATGGAGAGAAGTTATTTCGAATGGTAGGTACTTTATGTACGATGATTTGTGGGGTAATCGCAATTTTCGAAAGTTTGTTCGACGAAGATTCACTGCTTTACTGTGTTGCGCAAATTAATTGCTTCAGGTTGCTAGAAAACTGATTCCAACATCCGACGAGAAGACTTATTGTAAATACCTAACACCATAATTAACATGCACTTCACACTCAAATAATTGCTTAAGTGCAAATGGACGTAGAATGACGGTGAGTGGCCTATGTTCCTTTACGATATGTAACAGGCCTACGTAAATAAGTAAGTAAGTAAGAATTAACCGCAAATGTTAGGGAAATGAACTTTGGAAAGCCACATATTCTGAACCTACCTAGTTCATGACCATTGCGATCATGTATTTTGGTAATAAAATGTATAAACTATTTGCTTCTTTTTCTATCAGTGATTATTTGTGCATTGTTCTTGTCAACAGAAAGCTGTGCAGAGTGCTTCAAGTTATTGGGAGAAAACACTGAAGGTTAAGATAGACAGTGAGAAACCAGTGCACTTCCGAAGGTAAACAATAATTGTTAAGCTGATGTATTCAAAACGAACTACTTCGCTTTAAAATGTTCTGTGACATATATATATAATCTTTGAAGTAATTTCAACTGAACGAATACCTATATCTAACATCATTGGTGGTCACGATCCTTGAACATTTCATGTAATATACTTTGTAGATAACTTCCTGTTCATATCATTCAACAAAGCGTTAAATGGGGAAAACAGATTTATATAGTCTGTGAAAACTCACTTGTGACTGATTTCAATATGGTTCAAAGGAGGTTCAAAGAAAAAACACCACCATTAGAGTTCAACTCCATTGAGAATTCATGAACATATATTGACATATATATTCACTTTAAAGCTTTAACGCTAAAACAATTTGCCAATTTTTCACCGTCTCTATTGCTTTCTTTATTCTTAACAAATTTCATGGTTTTCAAGAGAATGTACGAATGATGGACACTTGGTAGAAATGAAAAACAACAATCCATCATGTGTGGACTCTTACTGTAAACAAGATAGAGAAATTCAAGGTGTTAGAATTCCTAACAAATATTTGTCGGTAAGTGTAGCAGTAAATATGATATGTTTGCATAACTTATGTAGACATACATTTTCGTTCTTAGTTGGTGAGGTGATTCGTCTGGTTAGTTCCGGTAACCAACGAGACTTTAAACTGCTAAATAATGAACTGTTCCTCTGTGTTTGTTTAGGGGGCGGCCTCTATTTCTGTTTTAAGGAGTAGTGTGGCTGTGATCCGACAGGTGCGGTACCAGCTTTCACTCCTCAGAGGGATAAGCGGCACATGTCGGTCACACGACATTGAACAAAAACAGGTTTCTAGTGCCCCCAGATATTCAGGGCCATTGGTAGGTTGCACAGGCTGTGCCAGAGAGTCTTGAAACCTGGCTCGAAAGGGTTGAGCAAACTACTTCATCATCGTCGTGACTGAGATTCAGCCTGGCAACTGTTCCTCGTGAACGAGGCATTCCTAATAAGCGCAAGTCATGAGCTTGCGCTGACTATGTCCCTGCTTTTTTGTACACGCTCCCCGTTTCCACTTCTGATTGAATGGCTTAGTGAGGTTGTTGGATTTATGTCGTTGCAGTGGCTTTGCCATCTAACTGAGAAGATGACCTAATTTGACTATTTAGAGGCCAAAAAAATTGTAACAAAGTTTCCTAAGGTGAAGCTGCATAAGGATCATTATCATGATCCAAGAATGTATAATATAGCGTGCATCTGGCTTCATGCTGGAATGCATGTACTCTGGTTTAGTTACATCTACCTTAAGCTTCAGCGGCTATTATGATATGTATGATATATTGTAAAAATCCTCATGATCACTTTGTATTTATTTGTAATGTTTACACACCAGATAAAGCAACGCACGTGAACCACAGATAGTTCCTTTTGGTTAAGCTTAGGTGACAGGATTCCGAAATCCATTCTACGGAAACCAGTACACTCTGCTCAATAGATCCGTAAATCATAGTTCGCAATAAAAACATTGTCTACAAATATACATTAAACTGACTGGAACCAAACCACATATTATGCTATATCGGTCATAATATTCTACTATATTTTTTCAGTCATGTTATCATCAAGGAAAAGAAAAATATGGAATAGTTTATTCACAAGGCACTGGATTAGCTCCCAATCAGTTATTGATAATTGTGGCGGACTCAAGTAGAACACGGATTGATGAATGTACACATGTTCGTGGTGAACTAGTTGACACCCATCCAAGTACTGGAAGGTAGGCTACATTTTTACCGGTGAAAATATTCAGTTTATCAGATATTTCGTGTTAAATACAACGTGAGATTTTCTCCATTTCTAGTTATTTATATAAGTAAAATATAATGACGAACCTACATTTAGTTGATGATTGACCGTAGCACTTTCTATATTATCTATGTTGTTTCACTTTTTGTACGAATGACCAAAGAACTACACATTTTTTCTAGTATCTAATATGTATATTGACAAAAGAGTGTTTGTTCAAATTAACCGATGGTTCGATAAGATCACCAGAACAACTGTTCTAACGGATCGACTTCAAAGCCCAACATACTTGTCTAAAGATCTATAGGATTTTGAATTCCTCATGTTGTAACTGTTTATTTGCAACCAATATCGTGTAATAAATCAAATAATGCTGCGGTGCGATAAAGCGTTCTGAATATAGACAGCCTAAAATATTTTCAAGGGTTTTTGTGAGCAAGTCACCTACGGCACTGTCAATAAAGTTTTATGATGGTGGAAATATTATGAATGTAGACTTTTCCTTAAGAGACTAACTGCTGTTTATTATGAAACCTTTATTGCTGAACAGCGGCTGACTACCTTCGACCTCATATCTATGTAGATATCATTTTGAAGGAGAGATTAGTTTATTTTATTTGATACAGGTTCGCCTTGTGTGTTGATGATTTCCACCGGTGATGAGAGCAACCAAACAGCCCCAGAACAGAATATTATAATATCGCAGTGTCATACGATGAACAAACAAGTACACCTCAAATATCTCGAATTAGTTGAAAAATATCTCGAAATCCCTTCTAAGATCACGTTCACGGTGTTATCAATCGGACCCACTTATGTCCTATCAAATATAAAATGTGGGCAAACAGATTCAATGATCGAAATCTTCCACGTCCACATAACTTGTTACTGTATATCTGTAGCACCAAGATGTTTTCTTGCATTAGGACAAACCACTTGTCTCATGTTATATGTTGATGGATTGAGTATGCCGTTTCTGTAGTGTTACGTTCACTTGGAATGATTATTTTATTTGGATGTAAGCACTTTTTCTGTATAATGTAGTTTTATTATATTCAGTGTGACTGTCTATCTTCACCTTTATCATACACATAACGTCCCTTTTCGGTACAATATATCGTGGAAAAATAATTAGTAATGAGCTGAAGTTTTATAAGTAATGTAATCCAATACTTCTGTTTAATTCTACAGGCCTATTTTGGGCGTATTGAATTATTGTCTGCCTGAGAAAGAATCAATCACAATATCCGATGACATACTGGTCAATGTGATGAAGCATGAAACAGCTCATATACTGGTAAGTTCTTTTCAGTTTATGAAATATGGTCTCCGTACTTTGACATACGGATAATCTTGTTTCGTTCAGCATTTGGTTAGTACGATGAGTAGTGCAGTTATTTAGTTACTTTGATCACAAACTCATTTTCCTTGTGATGTATCAGCTGTTACAATCTGTGCATTCACGTTTGAACTTCTCACAGTTAATTAATCATTACACAAGTTTCTCTGAACTAAATTAGCCAAATATGGGAATAATATCAAAAATATGTATTATTGTGATGCTCATGTAGATTGTACATTATGTATATGAACTTCGCACTGTGAGAAACACTTTAAATTGATGGAAAATTAAATTCAGTTGAATAGTGTACAGTCTAGCAGTAAAGACAGAAGATACTAAGCGATTTCTATATGGTGTACTATAAAATGTAGATATGATGATTTAATGTATAAAACAATGTTTGAATTCACTGCAAAATCGAAATACCATAAAATTATCAGTATGGATTGTGAAGATTATTACATTATTGGTTGAGATTATGAACTGGTCGATGTTGGATACCAGCTCAGTGGTTTAGAGGTTAAGCATTCGCTCGCGGGTTCGAAGACCTCGGGTCGGAATCTCGAGAACGAGATGGTGGATGCGCAATGCTGGGGAAACCAACAAGTGGAAGAAACGGTCGTCCAGTAGTTCCAGGTTTTCAGTTGTGGTTCAACATCAATCGGTCAACGATCTGAATCAAACAGTATAAAATTGATGTTCTTAAAACAAGTGTTGTGTTTTAAATAAACATTTTAATCGTTGAGTACAAAATGAGTAGGAAATTAGATCACATTAATTTCTTCTTTTCTTCATAAGGGATTTCATCCTTCAATTTTTGAGTCGCAAAAGATGAAATCACTGAAAATTCCGTGAGTATTAATTAACAAGTTGTAAACTGTTGTTTTTATTATCTGTATGTATGTGTTTATAATTTTAAAGGCGCATACATATTTCGTTGGTTGAAAATTGAAATTCGCAGTTCGAAACGTAAAGGAAATGCAAGCGTACTATAGGAACCCGTGTTTCTGTATACAGATGAGCTTTGGGAACAAGCGTTCATTCACATGTTAATCCTATTGTTCCCTATCAAAGATATCAGTATTTGATTATTGCTAAGAGCAATAATCAGGCTGGATTGTCGCGTGGGAATATTTAAGCATCAAAACTAGAGCATACGGCATGTTATTCCATCCATTTCTTAATTGGAATGTTCAAATTAATTACGTAATTATTACACAGTGTCTGTTAAAACTAAAAACTATTTTCTGACTATTATAAACAAACAATAATTGAACGATGAACGTATATACACGGTTCGACTTTGCAGATTCTGCTTCTCACAACTCCGTCTGAGAGATGGCTGTGATAAAAAACCAAATACGAATGAAGCTAGACGAACATACTTCAGGCACTGGTTTACTCAGACAGAAATCAGTGTGATAGTATTCTAAATTCCTTTGATAAAGGTATGATAAAACATAAGCTAATGATGTGTGATTTATAAAGTACTAAACAGTAACAGTTATAAGCGGATAGCTCACAAAGTCAAAACGTGTGGGTCCAATGTATAAGCAAGAATAAACTACCTGGTTTGCCGAAAAGCCAGAATAATCCATATGGAAGTGACAGGGTAACAGATCATATAAAATATACGTTTCTAATTAGCCGATACGTGAAATTTATTTCTAGACTTTAAAAGTTTGTTTTGAGTGGAGTAACTAACGTTTCAAAATGTTCAATCTACATCACTGTATGTTTTTGTTTCAATCCCTAGATCTGTTCAAAACATAACGCTATCTTGGCTATCAACTAAAGGAACCTACAAAATACAAAAGACAATTCTCAGTCTACCAAAGATGCTGGTACGTTGCATATTTACTTCGTTTAAACAGAGAAGCATTTCTACTAAACTGCATCATGTCAACATCTGAAACGTGAATACTACCAAAGATCGTCATTCTCACTGAGTCCTTGAATATGACAATTTGGGATAATGTTTTACTCTATTTGATGGATTCCTTTACTTTACTTTTCTTCACATTCTCTGTGACTTGAAATTCCACTTAGTCGAACTAAATCCAAAGAATTCTAGGTGACATGCATAAACATAGATCTCACGAGTAATATATATATATATATATATATATATATATATATATACATGTGAGCAAACAATTGTTTTCTAGATTTGTGAAGAGGTTTTGTATAAGTCATTGTCATTGATTCAACTAAAATTCCGTGATAACGAAATTGATTGGGAAGTGTAGCAGTAGTTTGTTGAGAATGGATGGAATATAGCAGGAAGTGGAATCCAGTGCAAGCATTTGCCAATCCAGACTGATCCAAATGCAGTGAAAATGACCATAGCATTATAATTCACACCAATGTCAATACAGTTAGAGTTAAGTAGTTGGTTTGAGGTGAAAATTCAATCCAAAAACAACACGAATATTTCTAAATCACGCATCTGAACCAGATTCATCTGCAACTCGCTTCTTTCTTATGCCTCTTGTTTTAATGAATCAATTACTAACTTGAGTTTACATTATGAAGATTTTCGTTTATCATTAATTGACTTTTTATTGATAACGCCTAATGACACTTCACATCGTTTATCTGAATGAAGAAGGAAGCAAGAGAACATTTCGACTGCAGCCAACTACAAGGAATCGAGCTGGATGAAAACCATTTGAGTCACAGAGTAATGGGAGTGAGTTTGCTCATATCATAGATTTTTGAAGTTAGTTATTCATCCAGCAGAATAATCTGTCCTCTGAATACTGTTCATGTAGAACATGTTTGATTTTCCATATACAGAAAACGTTTGTATGCACACTGTTGTTTGAGTATGTAGAGAAGTAAAACATGACAAGTATCAACGTTGTTCTGAGTGCATTAAATGAAAGATAGTTTGACATGTAACATTGAAGTAGAAAACAAGTTAGACATTCACAGATTTCGTATGATGCTTCATAGATTGTTTGCAACATTTTTAAGTTTTTCAGCACACTCGACTTAGCATTACATAACTCAGATGTCACAAATCGGTAGCAATGCATCATAAAATAAGAAATGCTCCTAGCCTGATGAGTAATAACTTAGCATGTATTCGAAGCAATTCTTGTTGTCAAGTCAAAGTAAAACCAACTGTAGTATCTATTAATGCATCAACACATGAATACCGTAAATCACTGAGGATTTTTGTTAATGCAATTTATTTTCAAAATACAATTAAAAGCGTCAATATTTACACAGCTTTTGGTACTGAATAGAAGCACCACATAAAGATAAAACCATACACGTTTTGTAAATAAATAAATGACCGATAGGACGGCAGTTTTGAACGATATAGCAGGAATCCCATGTAAAAGTTAATTGCGAGCGCTTAGTTTTCATAGTGAGATTTGAATCGTGATATGAAAGAACCACAATCATATAAGTTCCATACTGATTTATTCCTAATGTTTCAATGTCACCTCACTTTCATCAGAATGATAACTCTGGCTTATTTCGAGGGTATAAAGTAAGTGTTACACGTTGAAATATGAGAATAATTAAATCGTGGTAATCTTCACAAATGTTTACATGAAAGATACCTGATTCAATGTAACAGATAAGACGTACTAAAACGACTTATTCACTCCTGCACCGGTCATCCTCGGAAACTTAATCAATATAAACTGTGTGTGAATGCAAAATAAACCGTAGAACATAACTCTGTCTACCAAAGACAACTACAGCCAATTTTGAATTTACGAATGTGCAACAATGCGTGACTCTTAGCTATTGACTGGATTTCATAACTGGTTTTGCAGTGTGAAACAAATTTCACACACTGTAATACTGTACTGTGACAAAAAGAGATACGTTGTTTATGTTCACGATAAATGCGACGAATCTAAATGGGACAACTCGCTTTCGCTTGATAATTCTCATATGTGAACTTTAATTGTACGCATATCATCTCAGAGGCACAGTATAAAGCAATTAGAAGTGACATGTGGACATTGGAGGTTTGAAAATATCGACACTATTCTTTTGTCGACCAAGATTTCGATATTCTTCTTGTTTCCATTAAAGCATAGATAAAGGCTGACAATAATATGGAACTACCAATAACCAAACGCTTTCCAACCTGCACTTGTTGTTCGTTCTGCGGTCGCGACTGTAATCGACTTTCAAAAATTATTTTCATTGAACTAACATAGTTTTGTAAAAAAGCTCCCTTGATGTTACTGTCTTAATTTAGAATCGAAAAGCCACAATTTGTGGTGGTCCATGGGTCTACACAAGACAGGGCAACTCAAGCACTGTTTGTAGTAAATCTATTTAAGATATTTACAACGATGTAACAGTATCTGTAATATTGTTTCTTTGGACAATGTTTACAGTACCAACGGTATAGAACATTTAACCAAATAATGAAATTATCTGAATTTCAAACGCTAATATCATTTCAAATATAATTTTTACATATGACGCATTCTCTGTATTCGGCACCCAATTTTCTTCAAACTATTCGTTCTAATGTTAGTGAATATTCGTATGATTAGTTAATTGCTCTCATGCTGTAATGTGATAATATTCCGAAAAAAATTGATGATTGCTAAAAGCGAAAAACTCCTACATTTATGTAAAGGTATGTACTATTCAAAAACTTTGATATTTGGGTATACTTCACCATGTTTGACAATGACGAAGCAATCATCTGTTTTGGTTGAAACTTTTATTCTCAGAAGCTAATCGCAATTACAGTTGTATAGTTTCACAAGGTCGGATCATCAAAAAGAGAATTTTCTGAGCTGTTATTTATTCCCACTCTTTGATGACTCAATAGGTTTCTATCGTAGATCGGTCAATAAATGTCTGAAAAATATAGTACTAACGGTAATAAGGGAACCGACGAATACTTCAACTTGTACAGTGTAGAGTACCATGATATTACGGTCAAGCCATAAAGCGATACTTCCATATTTGAATAATTTTCTCTAAATACCTTTCAAGTTTGAAATTCATTTGTGCTTGTTAGTTATGCTTAGTTACACAACAATCGGTCAAACTCATTGGAAGTATCTCACTACTTCTCCTTAAATATGATGTTAGTAGTCTAGATCTACAACACTTGCAGTCTTCACGTCCTCTGACCTCACAACCTGTATTGAAAAATAAAACAGATAGCTTAATTAATTTCAAATAACAAATCAATATTCAAAATATCATCACACCACAATCCCTCGTAATCACAGTCTTATTCATTGTATTTCGCTTACTAAAGCATGTACGATGTCGACTATTCTATGGCCGATGACTTCAAATGGGGAAAAGGATTGGGTTGTGATTTCGTGTTGAAGAGCTGTTATGAATACATCAAGGACAGAAAAAGCAGGTAAAATAGACACATTATGTGTTTATGCTTGAACTTTTGTAAATTTATATTGAGCAACTAAAAAATTGCCTCTCTTAACGCTTCACAAGTATGAGTAACAGTTGAACCATATGAACGGCATATGATCTCGATCTCGTTATTAGTCATGTTTACATTTTTCAACACATACAGTCCAGCAATAACAATCTTCAACTCAGCTGTAATCGTTACTGATTTGTAATGAAAATTTATCGAGTGTTTCATGATGAAGTGGTTCAATGTGGAAAAGCTTCAAGTAGAGGAACAGTTATCTAGATAATACATTTACTTAAAATGTCAGATCCAGACCACAAAATCTCAATATTCTTGACGAGAACATACCCGAATTTCAAAATGTCACGAGAAAAGTGAGAATCTTCAACTATGTAGCATGTTGAAGCGTTTGTATTCATTAGTCGTAACTATTTACAATAAGATTTGTATTCTCCCTTGGTTGATTTTGAACCCGGTTTTTGACATATGTCCGTCAGTGTGTATCATAATGGTCACCATACTTTTTCGACATAATAATGTCAACCTGCATTGAGAATCCCCCTGAAATACACGTCCACGTTTGAATCTGAAGTCACGAAGATCAGTCTGAGAGTGAGCAACTAAGCAAGGATGTAGGTATAGCACCATCTACACAAAATAATTTGTCATCATTCTTGATTTATCCACGTGATGACGTAAGTAGATATAATTGCTGTTAAGCTATTGTGGTAATTTTTCATCCCAATAAAATAAAATTTTTTTTTCTCAGAGGACAAGACATTGAGCCCTACTGTGGTATTCCGAACGAACCAAAATGCACCGGTTATGAAAACGGGATCGGTATTTGCTCATTGTTTCAACACGACAATCAACTAGATGAAAAATATCAGTATATGGATGACTTGTTCCCTTTCACTGACACACAAAAGGAGAAATATGGAGGCCATATGGCTTTTGACTACTGTCCAGTCCTCCTAGTAAGTCACACTGTTTTACAGTCATATGACAGTTATGTGGGAAACAAGTGTGTTGATCAAACAACCAAAGTGAACTTCTGATAGTTATCAAACCACTCACGTCGTGTATTTGACAGTCTTTAGCTAGTTTTGGAAGTAATTAGTCTGAGTTAGTAATCAAAGTGATTATCTAGTACAAAGCGTCTAAAATTTTTACATCAGATGAACCGGGTTATCAGATAAAGTTCGTGAGTATACCATTTCACTGGTTACTTAGTAATTATTTTAACTAAGAGATACATGTATTCGTATGGTCTTTCATACAATGATACGCAAAGGTGTTTGCTGTAAATAATTTTATTTCTGATTCTTTGAGATATTACATCTATTCAGAGTTACGTGATCTCTAAAACAATATTTAAATCAATTATCATTTTAATGACCGAATCTGTTCTTTCTTAGAAGCACTGTGAAGTAATAGGATTATCTTGACGCTTTTCAGGAATTCACGTGGAACCTTGTTCGTCTACGTACAGAAATAAAACCTAATACATATTCATCATTAGTACCAACAACATATAAAACTGTCTTATCATTGGTTTCTGACGGAAACAGATTTCGATATTGTTTCTACATTCTTATTCTAAATCATTCAGTCATACGGATAGAAATTTATTTGAGACGACAATGAATTTTTGATACTTCATACATACTATATTTACTGTGTTTAAAAACAATCCGATTTAGGTTCAATCGGATGAACATAATAGACCAAACCTGTGCGAGCAGAAAAGTGAAATAAAACCAGGTTTGTTCACAAACATATTTTGTTTGTCCACCTATTTTGTTTACTCATTAACCATACATGTATTTTGACGGTCAGCCGAAGGAAAAACGGGACGTACTGGACGGTCGGTCCGTCTTCCAAAAAGACTCCTCAGCAGTGCGCATCCACGATCCATCCCCGTGAGATTCGAACCACAGAACCTTTCAGTCTCGCGCGTGAACACTTAACCATTAGACTATTGAGCGGCATCTAACGGTGTTGGATGAAGCAAAACATTAACACCATTGGATACGGGCTGGTTCAGTGGTCCAGTGGTTAAGTTCTCGCACGCAAGACTAAATGTTATGAGTTCAAGTATTACGAGGAGGGTCGTGTGTGCGCACTGCTGATGAGTCCCATAGTAAGACAGGTTGTACGTCCAGTGCTTCCAGGTTTACCATGGTGGTCTAGCTTCAATTGACTCATGAATTCAACTATTAGATTACTATAATATCCACAAAATCCCTCTCTGAATATATGTATTTCAATATGTATATTCATATTTCATATCAAATCGATAAGTAGAGTTTAACACTTGTACAGAATACATCAAAGTTTATCCCAAATATACTCTGGTAAAATGAAGATTGTCGAAACAAAAGTTACTTATATTTCCTCAGTTGATGACAGCCAAAAAGTTTTGGTAATCACCATATATTACATTGAAACTAGATTTATCAACATAAAATAAATATTTTTCGGCGTTATAGCCAACTGCTTACTAAAAAGTATTATGGTCAGTGCTAGTCAATAATAGATTTAAGTCTTTTGTATGTGTAGATTTTTGATATTTCTAGTTGGACACATAATTCATATGCTGGAAAAGTGATGATTAAGCGAAAGAAATGGATTGTATGATTGCATTGTGAAAACATGTTGATTTCATGAACTGGAGTGAAATTTCATCTTGTCAGAATATATATTCGTGGGTAGAATGTTAAACTATGATAATAAAACAAATTAGATCTCCACAAATTTACTGTTATATTAAATATAAATATATATGTATTTGTTGATTTTCTACAGATTCAATATCAAACATGTTTATGGAATATAGGGGTCCTAATTCAGGTTGTTTCAATGACCAAAAACAAACATATGTTAACATATCAGGAACTTACATTGATGAGAAGAAACCATCTTGTCATAAAGTAAGTCATATTAGAGTGAAATAGAATTCGTGTGCTCGATGATATTTATGTGTAACACAAGGCAATAAGATTGTGAAGAGGTAGAGAAGGGAATGTAAGCGTATTGAAAAATGGAACAAGAGATAGATAAAATTAAGTTGGTGAGGGTTAAAAGTAGTCAAAAACAGCGAATACGATTCTTTTATCTCCATAGGATCCTCCCAGTTATATGAGGAAAGGAAGGTAGCCTACCATCGGACTACCACTTTCAGTATTCGAGGTCATGAATGTTAACATGCAGAGCGGCTGAGTTTCACCATCTCTTGGAAGTCAACCGGAATGCCTTGAAGAGCAAACAGAAACCAGTCCTGAACAAAGTTCCTTTATGCCACTACAATAGGTCATGGGCTGACCAGCTCTCCGCTTTTCAAAACTAGCCTTAGCGTTGGCAAATGATGCACGATATTGAATTCTTTGGAACAATATTCGTAGTACACGTCCAAGACATTAAAGTCAGTGTATCTAGATGGTGATACAAATTGAACCGCTTTGTCTGAACAATTTTCTAATATACTGTGTTCAGTGTGCCTGCTGAATCAGTGGACGTTAAGATGGTGTTAATTTTGGTTCATGGCAAGTAACAGAAACTAAAAAAATTCAACAAGCAAAATGTAAGAGTGAACATATTAACGCGTGCGTTGACAGACAAATTAACAGCTTAATAAAACAATATGCCTAAACGTAAAATAGTGTACATATTCCTGGGTGAAAATTCCGTCTGTTCTGGTATGGTATGGTATAGATATTTTCCTAACTAGTTAGATGGACACTTTCCTGGAAATTGATTCTTAAAGTTGACTACTATTCAATTTAAAATCAATTGTCTACTGATTGTTCCTTAACTTGATTGCAAAATCTGTCAGTTCCAATGTTCAAAAAATACTGGTGTTCTGGTGATATTTAACGATAAGGCATTTCAGTGTCCTGTTGACGGTGGACCATTACATATAGAGCAACAATTGAGAAATGGAAATGTTTTTATCGATATACAATGTCCAAAGTGCACATCACTGTGTAAGGTGAGTTGCAGTGATTTCTAACTGTATTATTAAAAACTGATAAATCGAGTTACTGTTATAACACAGATGTAGTTTTAAAATTTGTATCACGATAAACTAAGAAAACAATTGAAATCAATATGTAGATTGTAACATGATTAGAGTTGAAACTCTGCAGAGAGTGAATATCCATTTGAAGTGTAAGGCGATTTGGCATGGAAATTACTAATTGTTTAAATGTATGTGATCATATGATATATAATTTAAAGTAGGATCGGATGATAATCAAGAAATTAATTCTACGGTAGGATGTAAAATGGTGAAGGGTCAAACAGCTGATTATTGCTGAATAATAAAAGGTTGCGACTGTGTTAGATAAAGATAACATTTAACGTAATTTATGTTACATATGTCTATAAGATTTACTCCATAACAGATTGATATCTTTTGAAATTGCGTATCTCACAATTTCACTTCACGTTTTCGTCTATCACTAAACACTTTTCTGACTTTGTCTATGACTCGATTTCATTTCTGACGTCATTTTGTATGCCTATTCTGCTCTGCTCATATAATATGTATCCATATAAAAGTATATAGTGTGTTGTCAGTGTTTATTGGATTCAAGTCGACTGCATTTGGTGATGAAATCCAGGAAATCCATCTTGAAGCCACTCATAATTGAGAACATGGCAACGATCAGTGTGGAGTTGTGAAGACTGTTGAGTTCAAATTGATGTCACGAATGGAGGAGTCCTATACTGGGACGAAACGGCCGTCCAGTGCCTCTAGGTCTACAATGGTGGTCTTTCTTGCATCGAATCACGAATTTAACTATTAAAGACAATAATAATCTTAAACAGAGCAAGAACAAAGATTGGTGCAGAATAATATGAATTCATTTTATTTCGTTAGGTTCTTATCAACTGCTTACAACCTAAATTATTTGAAATTCAACATTATTACAGATATTGACATATTCATACATAAGAGTGTGATTAAGGATCAATACATGTGTATGATGATGTAGCGAAGATTCAGATAGAGTTAATGAGCTCATAAAATGTTTGATTCGAATAAATAAATAAAGTTAGAGAGGGAAAGTTCTGGAACATTGAAATAGTGATTAGAACTCATGAAAATAGATTAATGGTAATAAAGAAAATATGAATTGAAATCAATCAGTTATGTATGATGTAATTTATATTTCAGAAAGAGTTGCAATAATGACGTAATAAATAAATAAATAGGAGCAAATTAATAGAAAGAGTGGGGGTTATTGTTACCAGGGTAAAGAGAGATTTATTACTGTATCTTTTTATATACATAGATCTGGTTTTAAACGTTTGATTGCTGACGCTTCAGCGAATTTCAAAAGGTTCGAGTATGATTGTTTGTTAATCACCTTGAAGGACTTCAGTATATCAGCTTTATGTCCTGTATCAAAGAGATGTCTTGCGATAGCACTGTTGAATGCGTTCAATCAACTTAACCTTAAACTTTTCGGAATATGTGCTTTGAATCGGACGTAGGCTCTCCTTTCTGTTCTACCAATGTAACTGCTTTTGCAGGTACGTGTAAATTTGTATACACAGTTAGTGGTAACATGAAAGGGATACCTGTCGACCTTTGATTGTGTCAAAGAACATGTTGTTTTAGACAGGACAATCAATTTCGCTGCAGGATAAGTTCTTGTCAGTGCAGTTTTTAGTCTCATATTGATTGATCCTGTGACATCGTCACCTTTGAATTCAAGTTTAATAAAAATAGGCTTTTATTCGCTGTAATTTCTTTCAGAACTCCGCCTGTAGCTCTTATAGGGTTGCTGCCGGTCCCAAGCCCGGGTAAAGGAGGAGGGTTGGGCGTAGGGTTAGCGTCCCCATCCCGTAGAAAACTAACTCGCTAAAAAAACGCTTACCAGAAAAAACAATCCAAACCATTTTAACTCTGCCCTGCGAGTTAGAAGGTCTTCATTTAGAAGAATTATGACGCTTCATGGTGAAAGCCGAGTTCCTTCGGAAGCCACGAGGCCGATGCCTCTTCTAACAACCAGAGCAAAAATTTTTATAGGTACATGGAACGTTCGAACAATGTGGGAAACCGGGAAGACCAGTCAAATAGCAATGGAAATGAGGAGATACAACTTAGCAGTACTGGGAATCAGCGAAACCCACTGGGCCCATGCTGGACAGAAAAGGCTAGCTACGGGAGAGATGCTGCTATACTCCGGTCACGAAGAGGACAATGCTCCACACACTCAGGGAGTCGCTCTTATGCTGTCCAAAGTAGCACGAAATGCACTTGTAGGATGGGAATCGCACGGATCCAGAATCATCAAAGCATCATTCAAAACAAAGAAGGAGGGGATCTTAATGAATATTATCCAATGTTATGCACCCACCAATGATAGCGACGACGAAATTAAAGATCAGTTCTACGAGCGGCTGCAGTCAATCATTGAGAAATGCCCAAGGAAGGATCTAACTATTCTGATGGGAGATCTAAATGCCAAAGTCGGAATAGACAACACTGGATATGAAGATATTTTGGGACGACATGGACTGGGAGAAAGAAACGAAAATGGAGAAAGATTTGCAAATCTATGTGCATTCAACAAATTGGTCATAGGAGGCACAATATTTCCACACAAGCGTATAAACGAGGCTACATGGATCTCACCGGACCACACTACAGAGAACCAAATAGATCATATTTGCATCAACAAAAAATTCCGAAGGACAATGGAAGATGTGCGAACCAGGAGAGGTGCTGACGTAGCTTCAGATCACCACCTAGTTGTAGCCAATTTGAAAATGAAGATAAAAAAGAACTGGACAAGTGGACAAACAGCAATACAAAGGTTCAGTACAGCCTTCCTTCGAGATACTGTCAAACTCAATGAATTCAAGATAGCTCTCAACAACAGGTTCCAAGCCTTACAAGATCTACTGAAAGAAGAAGAAACTACTATGGAGGACAACTGGAAAGGCATCAAGGAAGCATTAACTTCAACGTGTCAAGAGGTTCTCGGTCTAAAGAAATACCATCATAAGGAGTGGATCTCTACAGAAACACTGGACAAGATCAAAGAAAGGAAGAACAAGAAGGCAGCAATAAACAACAGCCGAACACGAGCAGACAAAGTCCAAGCACAAGCTGAATACATAGAAGCAAACAAACAAATGAAGAGGAGCATTAGGGCCGACAAGAAGAAATACGTGGAAAAACTAGCAACGACGGCGGAAAAAGCTGCTAGAGAAGGAAATATGAAACAGCTTTACGATACAACGAGGAGACTATCAGGGAAATACAGTAAACCAGAGAGGCCGGTCAAAGACAAAGAAGGCAAGCCAATCGCCGAAATTCAACAACAGCGTAACAGGTGGGTAAAATACTTCGAGGAACTCCTGAATAGGCAGGCTCCAATGAATCCACCGGACATCGAAGCAGCACACATAGATCTTCCTATAGATGTCAATCCACCAACTACGGAAGAAATTAGAATGGCCATCAGACAAATCAAGAACGGGAAAGCAGCAGGACCCGACAACATACCAGCTGAAGCACTGAAATCAGACATCGAAGCAACCACAAGCATGCTTTATCTTCTATTCAAAAAGATTTGGGAGGAGGAACAAGTGCCGATGGACTGGAAAGAAGGACACCTCGTCAAGATTCCAAAGAAAGGAGATCTGAGCAAATGTGAAAACTACAGAGGCATTACACTACTGTCAATACCAGGGAAAGTCTTCAACAGATTGTTGCTGAACCGGATGAAGGATGCAGTAGACGCCCAACATCGAGATCAACAAGCTGGATTCCGTAAGGATCAGTCGTGCACAGACCAAATTGCAACACTACGGATCATCGTCGAACAATCAGATGAGTGGATCTCGTCACTATACATCGACTTCATTGATTATGAAAAGGCATTCGACAGTGTAGATAGGAGGACATTATGGAAACTTCTTCGACACTACGGAGTTC